TAATGTCACTTCTGTTTATAGTTAGATAAGATTAAATACCTTATGAAAATTTTGCTGGAACGGCGATTGAGGTGTGCGTATCAAATTTGACTTTTTTGTTCCCGTTTAGTTTTCGATTTTTCGTTTCTGAGGTGCGAAGTTGGTTGACACTTGCAAAGCTAAATGCAAGTGCGGCACACTACCAATTAGTTAACGGATAATATAACAATAATGGCTAGCCGGGGGATGGATAGTATATGAATAAAAATAATAATGAAGCAGCACGGTAGGAAAATATAAATAAACAACGAAAACCAATCAAGGAACTCGGGTCCGGGCCTAAAACAATCCAACAACTCAACTTCGTGTATTTGCGCGCCAACTTTAGGTGTGTGTGTGTGTGTGTGTAAACACCGTGATTTTCACCGTAAGCGCAGGATTTAAATTGCTGATATCTTTCTTCATATTTTCTTGTTCCTCGCAACAATTATTTTATTTTAATTTCTTTAATATCAATATATCACAACACGATGAATAAAATGAACAAAATAAATTATTAATATGACGAAACTGATTAAGCATTGATTCGCGATGCTCCGATTGGAGAATGCCAATATGCGAGTCTTTCTGTCATTAATTCAAAGTCCGCACATTTTTGATTTTCAACTTTCGGAATGTTCAGAATCTGACTGAAACTTGAATGCCTTCGACGGACCACCTCGATTTTTTTACCCGTATGCATTCCACATTTCGTTTCCTCGTTTCGCCCACTCGTCCGCTTGATAAACCGGTTCGGGCAGTGAAATGGGAGTTTCGCAAATTTGATGATGGTAGCTCAACGCCAACATAAGTGCCTCTACCTCGTCCATATTCTTAAAGCCGATCTCATTGCGAAGCAACTGATAACAGACAGCGTTTGCCGTGCCTTGAAACGCGTTGGCCGACACGATGTACGCTTCGTTGATATTGGCTCTCGTAATATCCCGATCAATTACAGTCAGCGGCTTGACATTTGAGATCTCTGAATTCAAATTATAGACAACACAATCGATGGAGCATCCAACTGCTATCGAGCCGATTGAAGAATCTTGCTGAATTTCGTTTTGTGGCAATCAAGACTGCGAACTTGGGCGACCAGTTCTTGAGGTTCTTCTGATTGACGACCTCTTGACAGGCGGTTCTCATCGCGTTGAGTTCGTCATCCAATACCTGACCACCCGACAAATGATTGGATTGAAACGAGCCTAGCAAACGGACCATTTGATACTGCCCTTCCGACACCCCGTCGCGGATTATCAAAATCATCTGAGGATATCTTTTGCGGTTGGCCACAAACTTCTCGATAATCCACTTCATTCTTCTCTTGAGAATACCCGATTCGACTTGCTCCTTCTTCGGATACTGATAGTGAAAATCGCCAACAAACCCTTCCTTATGAGAAGCTCCATTGAATGAGAACTAAACGAAAAGAAGTGAAGAATGTCGATTACAAAAAAAAACACTGACGCCTACGACGCTGGGAACCATCACGCATTCATTCGTATTCACTTGTCCGGGATGAGCAACATCGTAGGAAACGATCAGCATATTCTCATTTGAGATCCATTTATCGCGCCTTTAAATTGCATATCAAATTCTCGCAAAATACGTGCCTCAAATAAATAAATTACCCGCTAATTTCTGGAATGATCTCGTAGTTCAGTCCTCCCAATTTCATGTTAATTTTCCGGATTACGTTTTGAAGTGTAAGACGTTTCTGTCTGAATCAAATTCCATCAATTCTGTTTGCATTCAACTCACGTTAACTCGAGCACAATCTCCGTTGTGAGCTGCTGGAATGGAATGACAAACTTCCTCTCGACGAGTTTCAGCCCGTCTAAAATCATCACTAAAATCTTGTCGTCAATCTCGTCGCCTACCGTGCGAATTATTGTCCAAATCATCGATGAATATGATCAAGCCAATTTTATATTTTTTGCTGCACTTGGTGATCAGCTGAACGTCGCGGGTTGAAAGAATAGAAATCATTGTAAATCAACATACGCGCGTGAGGGTCTCGTAATAATCGGTGCCCAACTTGTAAGCACTTATATCCTCGATGATCCACTTGTCTACCGAAATGCCTGTCCGTTTGCAGCCATCGCTGAGCGAATTCAAGCAGTCGCTGAAAAAACATGGAAGGGATATTCTTCTGAAATTCACTCACTTGGCAACACTTTTCTGATTATCATGAGCCACAACGATAGTGGAACAAGAAGCCCCACGAACAAACTTTTGTTCATTGCGACGTATGATGGGAGCTTCTCGTTGGATGGCCGTCACTATCTTGGGATTTGCCGAAATTGTGACACCAAACCTGAAAAAACCTTGCACCAATATTTCAAGAATCGCAATCCGATAGTTGGCTACATTTTCAAATATTTATTATTAGCACCGCCAGCGTCTAAATTGAGATCGTGCAGCAATTTTTGAATTTGGCTGTAACGAATTCCGGGTGGAATCGGTTTCGGCTGAAATCGAATTATAGACTTGAATTTAAGCACAATTCAACTTTCTCAAGCTGCTTCTCGTTGGGAACGCGTTGATATGGAAGCAATCTAATTGTCTCGAGTGCGAAGAACATCACCTCGCGTTTCTGAATTCGGTCTTCCGATTGGCGAGAGATTGTCCAATCGCTTACCTTGTCACCGTCAATTAATGCACGTCCCGCCGGCAGATTTTCATTGAACGGACCACTTACGTTGAGAACACGGACCAAATAGTCAATAAGGGTTATTTGATTTCCTGAAACTTCGATTCAAATCAATTTCCGATATCTCAATATCGAAAATACCGTCGTATTCGAATTTGACCTCGGACATTGGGAATCTGGTTAGCCCGACGCAGGTGTACGACTTTTTGTCGTAAGTTGGTTCGAATTTCAGACCTTCAAAACTTGTTTGACTGAAAATTATTCGAATGCTAACTACCTTTCACGTAATGATGCATTTTCGAGAACAAATTGCTGGTAGTTGCTCTTTCGTTTTCATTTTTAATCGAATTCCAATCCAAATGAATATTTCGGCCAAAAAAGCTTGAATGCATTCAGCAAATGTCTGCGTCTTGAAAAATGTTCCAGTTTTTGCTTAAAACGTTAAAATTATCCACTGTGTGTCTTGTAGCCATCGTACCATCGAGAATGAGCGCCGGCGTCGTGTCGCCATCATTCCGGACCCTTGCATTCGGACATCCTTCGATGAACATGATGCTTTTATTCGCGCCATCGCGTTCTTCCTGCCCATTCCGTTTGTCACGCGCTGGTCTTGACATGTCGAATACGCAGCCATTTCCGAACACCTGAACGAATACAAATCATCAAATGCCTTCTCCCATACCGTTAGTCCGCGGTCGCGAGCCGATTGGCTGGTAAGAAGATTCAGAAAGTTGGTCACAATCTTGCTCGTTTCTGCCACATTTTTCGGAATTTCGTTGGAAAAATCCGAAATATCAAAATAAGGGATGCTCGCGTTCGGCACGATCGTAACCATGAACTCGCTCGGATTTGAGTGGCGAATCAGATTTTGGATGGATTTTGGAAGGTCGCCGACGGCCACTGACATCTGCATGGTTTTCACGGAATCGAATGCGTCGATTCTGTTTGACGTGTAGAGCGAGCTGGCGCAGTCGTAAACTCGGGCAGTGCCATCTTTGATGACTCGATGTGTGTCGAGGGCCTTCCATAAGACTGCCTGACAAATTTTGTGTCTTTCTGTAGCCAGACAGCTGCAACAATTTAATCGATATTCTTCGATCTGATTGACATGAGTCATTAAACAAATATTGTTATGAAATCGACTTTTCGAGAAAAAATCAACATTTCACTTACTCGTCTGTTTTGCGTCCAATTAAAGACGCCGTGAATGGTTTTTCGCGTTTCTGCGAACCTTCGTACCGGATGTTGACTCCGTATACCTCGATTCCAACATCATATCTGTATACGATTGTGTTTTTCTCGATTTGAATCGACCAGAAGTTGGTGATCACATCGACCTGAAATCAGATTTAACTTCAAATCTAATATCTCTTTTGTTTTAGAAAATCAGATCAATTGATTTGGAAGTTCAAGATCAAATTGCTCACCGTTCTTGCGTTCTTAATTGTCGCCGGCGCCAGCTTGCCTGTGACTTCGCAACTCTTCAAAACTCTGTCTTGGCTCGGCGATTCGGCAGTGGAAATTCGAATTTCCTTCAATTGCTTGTTCAATGAATGCATTTCTTCTGGAATTTGAAACACTGTAATGTGAATGAAGGCAGGCGAATCTATGGGAAGAAGGAAGGACTTCGGCAGAGTTGTGACGACTGCAATCACGCCTACTACAATGACGTGTCGTAATGTGGGTATTGCTTATATTAGCAATCGAGAATATTAGCAAATATTAGCAATATTAGCAATTTAGCAAATATTAGCTTATATTAGCAATCGTTAACATGAGCAATGAGGAGAGAGAGTGAGAGGAATAGACGACGAGAGGGGGAAATAGAGTTGTGCATTATCAACTTTTCGAGAAACGTCGACAATACAAAATTTTGTGATTGTGAAAGACAACTATTGCTCATTTTATACGTTCAATTTTATGGGATGATTCAATTAAATTGGTGTTTCGGCGATTTTTTCGAATTTAATTTAATAATTCAAATGCGAAATAATTATTGCTGCAATTTTTGTCGCATCGTTATATTTCGACAATTTTATTGCTTTCCGATGGGCCCCCAACATTTTTAGCAATGTATATTCTCAACAGAAGCAAATGAAGTGAATGAAGAACAAAAAAATGATTGACAACTTCTGGGCGAGAAAAGCACAATTGTAAACCAATATGCTGTTGATATCAAGCTATGATGATTCTAGAGATTGAGAGCCGTTCGCAAATCAGCTCCAATTATTTTAGCACGATGCTTGAATGTTCTCCAAATCGTGTTCTTACTAACATCAAGGTTGAGCTCGTTTTTGATGTGAGAGACCTTCAGTTCGACCATCCAGCCATTTTCCAAGAACGCATTGAGGCCTTTTCGACATCGGTGAGCAACCTCGTGGCATGTTCAAATATAGATAAAAAACAAAGAAAAACAAAGAAAAAAATTTTACAGTACCATATTTAAAGGTGTTTTTTTAAAAGTAATTATTATACTTAATACTATGTTGCTGAAATTACAACCTCGCATCTTCTGGGCATTGACTCGAGCAAGTTGGTGAGTATACGTTATCTTGCTGGAAAATCCACCCGGGACCTAACTTGGGCAGCATTTCTTGTTCAAGAAGGCCCTTGTACATGAATCGATCCATAATTCCATTTACAAGAATCGGAAGACCGATCCATTGCACATAAAAGCAGCCTCACATCATGAGAGCCGTAGCAAACGACATTAAAAAAATTCAATTCGATATAACCTGATTTAATTTCCATCTTTCAAAATTTCTACTATATTTGTGGATGGACACGAAAAAATTCCAATGTGAAGTCTAGCCGATACTTTTGCTTTTGACGGTCAAATGTGCCAAAGAGCAATGTGAAAATGAAGAAGAAAACACGAAATAAGGGTGCTCGAATTATGGTAATGTAAAGGAAAAACCCATCAGGTTCTATCACAAAAACTCAATCAAAATACATCAGCTCCATCGGAAGCAGTGGGCGACCGGTAGCTGATGTAATCCATATCAATCCATTATTAAATCCTTTATTAAATTCTTTAATTGTAACAGCACCATATATAAACCCCCATAACCATCAATCTAGGCCCTTTTCTTTCCTTCATGAGTCGCATATGTCGGCTCCGATTTTTATCAACTCTCACCATTATGATCCACCGCTTAATTGTTTGTAATTTCCCCACTTCATCGAAGAAATAAACCAGTCTTTTCTTCGAAGCGTTATTAACTTCTAACGCATATAAAAGTGAGGGAAATAAAGGGAAGTGCCGCCCTACCACTATATGACGGCAGCTTAACCCCCTTACTGTAATGATAGCTAAAATTTACCTTGTATTTATTCTCTTAACTTTCTGATAATTCAATTTGTTATTTGTATATAAACAGATTTTCACATATTTTTGCACCACCAATGTGAATAAGCCGAACGAGATGATCATCGAGTTCATGAGGCTATTCACCCATTTGTGTGAGTATACTAAACTATACCATATATGCTATATAGTTAGCATAGCTTACTAGAGCAACAGAATCAAATACATTGTCAAGTCTTTGTTGAAAACCATTAAAAAATGGATAAGCGTTGAGGAGAAGCCAAAAAAACACGATACATGTATTGGTATATTGGATAGACGAATTGCTATAATTGGCCAATTAGTGGGTGTAATTAAGAATGGAGTAGGAGGGAGCCTCTTTGTCATCCTTGCGCGATCTGATAAAAAGAATCGAATATAAGATAATTAGATTTGAGGGAGGAACGATTTGATTCAGAAGCTGTCGGTTTGATGTCGAGTCCATTTTTACAGCTCTCAGGTATTCGAGGTAGTTTGCTCATTTTTTGAAATTCAAGTTTAATGGCAAAATTTTTTAGAAGTAATTATTGGGTTTACTGCAAAGATCGCCATTTTTTTGTATTTGTCAACAATTTTTATTTTATTTGGTTCAAATTTGGTTCGCCAAGACCCATTGTGGCTGTAGTGCGTTTTCCAAAAAGAATGACGATTGGATGATTTGCATAATTTTCGGATCCGATTTGTTTTAATTTTTCGATTCAAATCGCATTGGAGCAATGAGAAATCGGATCCAGTCGATTTTGGATCCGATTGGTTTTGAGATGCCAGAGTAATCGCAAGAAATCTCACTCTGCTCAGAATGATTCGAAAATTCATTTTTTTATTTTTTTTTCTAATAAATTCATTTCAGTCTTGCGACATCAAATGACGAATTGAATTCATCGACGCTACCACCAGGAAACAATGGCGATCGTCGACTACGATAGCATTGCCAATTATGGTACGCAAAGTGACGAAAGCCCGATGAGATTAGAAAAGAAATTGTAATTTATTAGTTTTATTCGATTTCAAATAAGAAATTTATTTCAATCTTCAAAATTATCAACATTTCGAGTATTTTTTGGTCTCGTCCTTTCGAAAATCTGAACAATTTCACGACAACCTCAGAAAATTTGTCTTAAATTGAAAAAAAGATTTAAGCTAATCGGAAAAATAGCTCTATAAATGTGAGAAAAATTCAATTATTAAAAGTTTTCAGTAAAATGGTCTCGTCGCGATGCACCGTAAACGTGCTATTGCGCTCCAGCGGCCTTGCACAGCAGGCGCATCGTCGGCAAGACGTCGTCGCATGCGTCCAAGTCGTCGGACGATCGAAGGCCGCTTCCGAGGTGCTGCGTATCGGGTTCTCCTGAAGCACACGGAACCTCTTGGCACCAAGCGTTTAGTGGTCCCTCAACTTCGCATTTCTTTCAGCTTCTTCCTTGAAAACATAAAACAAAATAAGACAATCTCCCAAAAGTTCACCTTTTTGAACGCGGCTTCCTTCTCGTGCATCTCGTGATCGTAGATTCTTCTCGTCAGCTTTTCGTCGCAATCGATCCATATAATCGTCTTCGGCTCGACATTGCGCACATATTTCGCGACCGTTGTAGTCGTCCGACGACAATAAATGAGAATGAGAATCGCGGATTGCCTGAAAATCGTTGCAGTGTTTCAGCGGAGACTGGAAATTCTACGAATTAGATTGCTGGAAATTTCTCGGATCCGATTGAACTTCAAAGTTCTTCAAATTCTCTTTTTCTGTTCCCCATTCCGAGGTTGACTGATTTAGAAGAATTAAATTCAACGAAAAAAACTGATGCTGATTCTCAATGAATCGAGATTTGTTAGAATTTGCGAATCTTTCCCCCCCCCACCCCAATTTTCAGTTCGATTTGACAAGCGCGCTCTCTACAAGAGTGTCACTATAAAAGGCCGGCGAGATGGACAATTTTGTCAGTTCTCGCAGCTCTCCGAGTTGCGTGCGAGCCGCATAACCTGCGGGCTCGTCGTGGAAAAGAATCCATTGGGTAGGTCGCATTCATCGCACTTCTTCGAAATCATTGCAGGCAACTTTTGGATCAAATGGATCGAATCGAAAGCGACGGCGAAACAGCGAGGAGGAGGAAGAGCAAAAGCGTCGGGTATTTCGTATCTTTTGGCAGAGCCTTGTTTTTTTTTTTTTACTTTTTTCTTTTTTACCAGTCGTACCGCTTATGACTCTCCCCCTCTATATATATATGTATATATATCGCGCATGGATGACAAAGAGGCTCCCTCCTACTCCATTCTTAATTACCCCCACTAATTGGCCAATTATAGCAATTCGTCTATCCAACCAATACATGTATCGTGTTTTTTTTGGCTTCTCCTCAACGCTTATCCATTTTTTAATGGTTTTCAACAAAGACTTGACAATGTATTTGATTCTGTTGCTCTAGTAAGCTATGCTAACTATATAGCATATATGGTATAGTTTAGTATACTCACACAAATGGGTGAATAGCCTCATGAACTCGATGATCATCTCGTTCGGCTTATTCACATTGGTGGTGCAAAAATATGTGAAAATCTGTTTATATACAAATAACAAATTGAATTATCAGAAAGTTAAGAGAATAAATACAAGGTAAATTTTAGCTATCATTACAGTAAGGGGGTTAAGCTGCCGTCATATAGTGGTAGGGCGGCACTTCCCTTTCTTTCCCTCACTTTTATATGCGTTAGAAGTTAATAACGCTTCGAAGAAAAGACTGGTTTATTTCTTCGATGAAGTGGGGAAATTACAAACAATTAAGCGGTGGATCATAATGGTGAGAGTTGATAAAAAATCGGAGCCGACATATGCGACTCATGAAGGAAAGAAAAGGGCCTAGATTGATGGTTATGGGGGTTTATATATGGTGCTGTTACAATTAAAGAATTTAATAAAGGATTTAATAATGGATTGATATGGATTACATCAGCTACCCGGTCGCCCACTGCTTCCGATGGAGCTGATGTATTTTGATTGAGTTTTTGTGATAGAACCTGATGGGTTTTTCCCTTTACATTACCATAATTCGAGCACCCTTATTTCGTGTTTTTCTTCTTCATTTTCACATTGCTCTTTGGCACATTTGACCGTCAAAAGCAAAAGTATCGGCTAGACTTCACATTGGAATTTTTCGTGTCCATCCACAAATATAGTAGAAATTTTGAAAGATGGAAATTAAATCAGGTTATATCGAATTGAATTTTTTTAATGTCGTTTGCTACGGCTCTCATGATGTGAGGCTGCTTTTATGTGCAATGGATCGGTCTTCCGATTCTTGTAAATGGAATTATGGATCGATTCATGTACAAGGGCCTTCTTGAACAAGAAATGCTGCCCAAGTTAGGTCCCGGGTGGATTTTCCAGCAAGATAACGTATACTCACCAACTTGCTCGAGTCAATGCCCAGAAGATGCGAGGTTGTAATTTCAGCAACATAGTATTAAGTATAATAATTACTTTTAAAAAAACACCTTTAAATATGGTACTGTAAAAATTTTTCTTTGTTTTTCTTTGTTTTTTTATCTATATTTGAACATGCCACGAGGTTGCTCACCGATGTCGAAAAGGCCTCAATGCGTTCTTGGAAAATGGCTGGATGGTCGAACTGAAGGTCTCTCACATCAAAAACGAGCTCAACCTTGATGTTAGTAAGAACACGATTTGGAGAACATTCAAGCATCGTGCTAAAATAATTGGAGCTGATTTGCGAACGGCTCTCAATCTCTAGAATCATCATAGCTTGATATCAACAGCATATTGGTTTACAATTGTGCTTTTCTCGCCCAGAAGTTGTCAATCATTTTTTTGTTCTTCATTCACTTCATTTGCTTCTGTTGAGAATATACATTGCTAAAAATGTTGGGGGCCCATCGGAAAGCAATAAAATTGTCGAAATATAACGATGCGACAAAAATTGCAGCAATAATTATTTCGCATTTGAATTATTAAATTAAATTCGAAAAAATCGCCGAAACACCAATTTAATTGAATCATCCCATAAAATTGAACGTATAAAATGAGCAATAGTTGTCTTTCACAATCACAAAATTTTGTATTGTCGACGTTTCTCGAAAAGTTGATAATGCACAACTCTATTTCCCCCTCTCGTCGTCTATTCCTCTCACTCTCTCTCCTCATTGCTCATGTTAACGATTGCTAATATAAGCTAATATTTGCTAAATTGCTAATATTGCTAATATTTGCTAATATTCTCGATTGCTAATATAAGCAATACCCACATTACGACACGTCATTATAGTAGGCGTTGTGTGATTGCGGTCGTCACAACTCTGCCGAAGTCCTTCCTTCTTCCCATAGATTCGCCTGCCTTCATTCACATTACAGTGTTTCAAATTCCAGAAGAAATGCATTCATTGAACAAGCAATTGAAGGAAATTCGAATTTCCACTGCCGAATCGCCGAGCCAAGACAGAGTTTTGAAGAGTTGCGAAGTTACAGACAAGCTGGCGCCGGCGACAATTAAGAACGCAAGCAATTTGATCTTGAATTTCCAAATCAATTGATCTGATTTTCTAAAACAAAAGAGATATTAGATTTGAAGTTAAATCTGATTTCAGGTCGATGTGATCACCAACTTCTGGTCGATTCAAATCGAGAAAAACACAATCGTATACAGATATGATGTTGGAATCGAGGTATACGGAGTCAACATCCGGTACGAAGGTTCGCAGAAACGCGAAAAACCATTCACGGCGTCTTTAATTGGACGCAAAACAGACGAGTAAGTGAAATGTTGATTTTTCTCGAAAAGTCGATTTCATAACAATATTTGTTTAATGACTCATGTCAATCAGATCGAAGAATATCGATTAAATTGTTGCAGCTGTCTGGCTACAGAAAGACACAAAATTTGTCAGGCAGTCTTATGGAAGGCCCTCGACACACATCGAGTCATCAAAGATGGCACTGCCCGAGTTTACGACTGCGCCAGCTCGCTCTACACGTCAAACAGAATCGACGCATTCGATTCCGTGAAAACCATGCAGATGTCAGTGGCCGTCGGCGACCTTCCAAAATCCATCCAAAATCTGATTCGCCACTCAAATCCGAGCGAGTTCATGGTTACGATCGTGCCGAACGCGAGCATCCCTTATTTTGATATTTCGGATTTTTCCAATGAAATTCCGAAAAATGTGGCAGAAACGAGCAAGATTGTGACCAACTTTCTGAATCTTCTTACCAGCCAATCGGCTCGCGACCGCGGACTAACGGTATGGGAGAAGGCATTTGATGATTTGTATTCGTTCAGGTGTTCGGAAATGGCTGCGTATTCGACATGTCAAGACCAGCGCGTGACAAACGGAATGGGCAGGAAGAACGCGATGGCGCGAATAAAAGCATCAAGTTCATCGAAGGATGTCCGAATGCAAGGGTCCGGAATGATGGCGACACGACGCCGGCGCTCATTCTCGATGGTACGATGGCTACAAGACACACAGTGGATAATTATAACGTTTTAAGCAAAAACTGGAACATTTTTCAAGACGCAGACATTTGCTGAATGCATTCAAGCTTTTTTTGGCCGAAATATTCATTTGGATTGGAATTCGATTAAAAATGAAAACGAAAGAGCAACTACCAGCAATTTGTTCTCGAAAATGCATCATTACGTGAAAGGTAGTTAGCATTCGAATAATTTTCAGTCAAACAAGTTTTGAAGGTCTGAAATTCGAACCAACTTACGACAAAAAGTCGTACACCTGCGTCGGGCTAACCAGATTCCCAATGTCCGAGGTCAAATTCGAATACGACGGTATTTTCGATATTGAGATATCGGAAATTGATTTGAATCGAAGTTTCAGGGAAATCAAATAACCCTTATTGACTATTTGGTCCGTGTTCTCAACGTAAGTGGTCCGTTCAATGAAAATCTGCCGGCGGGACGTGCATTAATTGACGGTGACAAGGTAAGCGATTGGACAATCTCTCGCCAATCGGAAGACCGAATTCAGAAACGCGAGGTGATGTTCTTCGCACTCGAGACAATTAGATTGCTTCCATATCAACGCGTTCCCAACGAGAAGCAGCTTGAGAAAGTTGAATTGTGCTTAAATTCAAGTCTATAATTCGATTTCAGCCGAAACCGATTCCACCCGGAATTCGTTACAGCCAAATTCAAAAATTGCTGCACGATCTCAATTTAGACGCTGGCGGTGCTAATAATAAATATTTGAAAATGTAGCCAACTATCGGATTGCGATTCTTGAAATATTGGTGCAAGGTTTTTTCAGGTTTGGTGTCACAATTTCGGCAAATCCCAAGATAGTGACGGCCATCCAACGAGAAGCTCCCATCATACGTCGCAATGAACAAAAGTTTGTTCGTGGGGCTTCTTGTTCCACTATCGTTGTGGCTCATGATAATCAGAAAAGTGTTGCCAAGTGAGTGAATTTCAGAAGAATATCCCTTCCATGTTTTTCAGCGACTGCTTGAATTCGCTCAGCGATGGCTGCAAACGGACAGGCATTTCGGTAGACAAGTGGATCATCGAGGATATAAGTGCTTACAAGTTGGGCACCGATTATTACGAGACCCTCACGCGCGTATGTTGATTTACAATGATTTCTATTCTTTCAACCCGCGACGTTCAGCTGATCACCAAGTGCAGCAAAAATATAAAATTGGCTTGATCATATTCATCGATGATTTGGACAATAATTCGCACGGTAGGCGACGAGATTGACGACAAGATTTTAGTGATGATTTTAGACGGGCTGAAACTCGTCGAGAGGAAGTTTGTCATTCCATTCCAGCAGCTCACAACGGAGATTGTGCTCGAGTTAACGTGAGTTGAATGCAAACAGAATTGATGGAATTTGATTCAGACAGAAACGTCTTACACTTCAAAACGTAATCCGGAAAATTAACATGAAATTGGGAGGACTGAACTACGAGATCATTCCAGAAATTAGCGGGTAATTTATTTATTTGAGGCACGTATTTTGCGAGAATTTGATATGCAATTTAAAGGCGCGATAAATGGATCTCAAATGAGAATATGCTGATCGTTTCCTACGATGTTGCTCATCCCGGACAAGTGAATACGAATGAATGCGTGATGGTTCCCAGCGTCGTAGGCGTCAGTGTTTTTTTTTTTGTAATCGACATTATCCACTCTTCACTTCTTTTCGTTTAGTTCTCATTCAATGGAGCTTCTCATAAGGAAGCGTTTGTTGGCGATTTTCACTATCAGTATCCGAAGAAGGAGCAAGTCGAATCGGGTATTCTCAAGAGAAGAATGAAGTGGATTATCGAGAAGTTTGTGGCCAACCGCAAAAGATATCCTCAGATGATTTTGATAATCCGCGACGGGGTGTCGGAAGGGCAGTATCAAATGGTCCGTTTGCTAGGCTCGTTTCAATCCAATCATTTGTCGGGTGGTCAGGTATTAGATGACGAACTCAACGCGATGAGAACCGCCTGTCAAGAGGTCGTCAATCAGAAGAACCTCAAGAACTGGTCGCCCAAGTTCGCAGTCGTGATTGCCACAAAACGAAATCCAGCAAGATTTTTCAATCGGCTCGATAGCAGTTGGATGCTCCATCGATTGTGTTGTCTATAATTTGAATTCAGAGATCTCAAATGTCAAGCCGCTGACAGTAATTGATCGGGATATTACGAGAGCCAATATCAACGAAGCGTACATCGTGTCGGCCAACGCGTTTCAAGGCACGGCAAACGCTGTCTGTTATCAGTTGCTTCGAAATGAGATCGGCTTTAAGAATATGGACGAGGTAGAGGCACTTATGTTGGCGTTGAGCTACCATCATCAAATTTGCGAAACTCCCATTTCACTGCCCGAGCCGGTTTATCAAGCGGACGAGTGGGCGAAACGAGGAAACGAAATGTGGAATGCATACGGGTAAAAAAATCGAGGTGGTCCGTCGAAGGCATTCAAGTTTCAGTCAGATTCTGAACATCCCGAAAGTCGAAAATCAAAAATGTGCGGACTTTGAATTTATGACAGAAAGACTCGCATATTGGCATTCTCCAATCGGAGCATCGCGAATCAGTGCTTAATCAGTTTCGTCATATTAATTATTTATTTTGTTCATTTTATTCATCGTGTTGTGATATATTGATATTAAAGAAATTAAAATAAAATAATAAGAAAATATATGAGGGGGTTTTGTTAAAGAATTTTGCAACATAATGATGCAATGGAGACCAGTCTCCTTGGAAAAAAATAATGTAACAAAATAAATAATTACGGCACTCTATAGTCGACGGCCGGTGACTTCTGTACGATGGCAATTTACGGGGTGCGCCTTTCGAAATGGTCTCGTCATATAAAAACGCTTATTTCGGTGTTGTCATGCGAACTGTTTATATCATTTTGATGATTTTGGTATTTCATTGAATTTCTAGCCCAAATTGATAAAGTCGAACCGACCCTTAAAATGCATAATAATAAATTAGTCCGTGCGAGACCATAGTGAAGGCGCATGCGCCTAAATCTACCCGGACGCCGACAATACGCTACTTATGACGTTAGTTTCGTATCATAACGAAACTGCAGCTGTTTTTACAATGTTCTCAGTTAATTTTTGTTTCCGGAAAAAAAGTAATTACCAGAATCGATTGTTGTGAGATCAAAAACTGTGTGCGCGCGGAAAAATTAACAATTTGTCACAATTTTATATTTGAATCACATTGGTCCTGTTCCGAAACGGATTTCGACGAGTCTGATTTGTTCGCGGAAAAAAGTACCCCAATATGGAGAATAATAATATTATTGTGACGTTTTCTTTAATTAAAAAAATGAACCAACAACATATTGAAAAAACGACGATAGACTTCCCACGAAAAGTTTTTTATGGCGAGTAAATGTAAAAAATTTTCTTATGGCAACTCAAAGAACCCGGTTTTTTTTTAAATTTAAACAGAATTCGTTTTCGAACGACTTACCATTTTCGCGTATTTCACATTCATTTGAAGGAAACGAAGACTTACCTGCCATTTTTGATGTAATAAATTGAACAAAAAATGAGAAACAAAAATGAAAAAAAAACATTTAAAAAAATTGTCCATATCGAGAAATCGGTGAGAATCCAAACAACAGCAAGTGAAAACAGGAAATTCTTCCTGGAAAATATTCGAGATTAACGAATTTAATCATTTTTAGCGGGTAAAACTGATTTAATTTTGTATTGATTAATATTTACAATCATCGGACGAATATAAAACCTATCGGAAGAAATCATTCATATTGGACGCCGTTCGAACGCAGGTCCGAAACTCATTTGCGTCCAATCAGTTAGCAATCAGTGCTGAGCCAAATATTTGACTCATGCGCTAGACTGATATAAACCTTTACTTTTAGTTTGGCCGGAATCTTCGAAATATTTTTTATAAAATGTTTTTTACTTTCAATTCGAAATGCACCTCGAAGTCGCGGTCGGCCACCAATTATTAGGTCATAAAAATTCACAACTTGGTGAAATTTAAAGAAAATCGCGACTAAGCATTACATATTATTTTCAGGCTTGTCGTTATATATATATATATATCAATCTTAAACACATTATTAATCTTAATCAAATATTGAAGGATTCCTATGTGCAAACTATCACATTCATAAAAAAACGAGCACATGTGCGTAATGAAATCACTAGGGACAAATAATAATTTCAATTTCAAAACAGCGAAAAACCCGATTTTTACTATCACCATTGCAAAAAAATGAGCACTTTAACAAAAATAGTAGACGAACACACTTCTTCGAGGTGGAAATTTTCAGTTCAAATTCCAGTTCAAACAGTAAGAATTCTAATACCGTACACTTAATAACCTGCGAATCTAACTCATCGTAAATTTTCGAATTTAATACTTATTTCAATTTCTACGCAATTTTATTTAAAACCGGCACCTTGAATAGTCGACTTCGTAACGACAAGCCTGATTATTTTTTAAAATGCGTCCGTGGTAGTGTGCCGCACTTGCATTTAGCTTTTTTGCAAGTGTCAACCAACTTCGCACCTCAGAAATAAAAATCGAAAACTAAACGGGAA